TCTCTTTTACTTTCTGTGTGGCTCTCAGAAAGGCTTTGCTACATCAAAGATACTTTTTGTCTCCTTTGTTCAAATGTATAAATTTGCCTAGAAAAATTAGCAATATCATCAGCAGTGAAAAATAATTTATTTGTAAAAGGAACTAACTTTTGTCTGAACTAGAGCTGGGAATTGAGATAATGTCTATGAATATGTGGAATGAATAGATGGAAGTATCTGAATTTATGGAAATACATGAATTCTCCTTTGCTGACAGAAAATTACAGTCAGGCCCCATTGCAAGCCAAATGAATATTCCACGTAATCTCATTCCCACACAGGAGCCCAAAGACACAATTGATCTTGCTTTCACTAAAATCAATGGGTAAAACTCATGGAGTAGGTCTCCCAGCAGCAGTGTGACACCTGAGCTAACACAGATTCACACCTTCTGCCCGCACGCAAGAAGCTTTGTTACTTCTCAGATTAGGTTTGAATTTATGATCCCAGGCCAGGTCCTTATTTTTCTGCTTTAAGTCACATACACAAAGCTCCATTGGTACATCAGTAATTATGCTTATCACCCAGAGGTCATCTTCTTAGCTCTTCAATCTCCCTCTAAAGCAAGATGTTTTTCTTAACCAAGGTTGCCGTGAGAGGCTCCGCACTTGCAGTCTTTCATGGAGGAATATTGGTGCTACCAGACATTATTTTTTATTTCTCTTTCAATTGCATTGATTTTTTATCTATTTTATTCCAAGAAGGAGCTGTGGCACCTATTTCACATTCAGAGTCTGCCTCAGGAGCTGTAATAACTTGAAGCACTGGGGATGCTCAAACCAGTGCATAACTGGAGCAGAGTTAGATTCACGGTTTATCCTGCCAGCTCAATGTCTTCAGCATCTGCTGAGAGAAGGGAAAACGTGGCATCTCTCAGCCTCTTGGGACAGCAGGGTGTCCTAACAGCCCAGAAGTCAGTGTCTCTGGGCACGCATTAGGGGTGATCAGCATTCCTCCCCAACAGGGCTGCTGCTGCTGATTTATTAATGTAGCAGTTGAAATCAAACCAGCACGGGAGAGTATCTATCTCAGCTACAGCCAAGATAGGCATGCTAAAGGCAGGCAGCTTTTTCCCTTGATATATAAGCAATCTCCACTTCTCAAAACATATCCCAGACTGTGCAACCCAGAGGAAAAAGAGGCTTGACAAAGATTGCACTATTCAACTTTCGTGTGGTAGAGACTTACACTTGCCTAAGAGGCACAGAGGAGAATGTGGCTTTTCTGAATTGGGCAGCGATGCTTGCACGGGGACAAATCAATTTAGAAACTACTTGGAATGACCCAGGATTACAAAACAGACAATGACAGTCACTTGCAAACTCACAGCAGCCTCTCGTCCCGGCTTTTCCCATCTCTCATCCTGGCTGCAGAACACGCTGTGCTTTGTCACAAGAAGAGCCTGCTGCTGGCAAAGCTTTATTCTCATGTCTGAGGTGCTCTGTGTGGGGGCAGCAGCTGGGCAGAAATCTCAATACAGATATAATAAAATAAAACAGGGCCAGGAAAAAATAGTGCTTAAAGCACCAGCCTCATTGTTTAGGGAAAATCAGGCTGGGATGGGACACTAAAATAATAGATTCTTCTTTCCTCCCAGGCACGGTTTGGCCACAGCTCTCTGAGTAAGCAGTACCTGCTTGGTTTCAGGACCCTTTTGCTGGAGCTGGAGGTTGTTTTGGCATGCCAAGGGGATATATCTCCTGCCTGGTTATCCACCAGTGCCTGGGTGGTGGATGGGTGCCCACTGGAACTTGAAGATTTGTAGCCACCACAGTAAAGAGGGGGTAACTCCAGGGAAGGAAGCCAAGCCTAAAACAAAGAAATAAGAAAGGGGAGCATGGGCTCCCCTAGAACTTGAGAGAAAAGGAAAGAGCAGGACCTTGGAACAGGCAGCAGAGAGAAAACAGACCTGGAGTGAGAGCGAGGATCTGGGACTAAGAGCAAGCTCCATCAGTCACTTCTTACAGACTGTAACTCGCTGTAACTCAACATTACTTAGAGATTGGTGGCTTTGGAAAAGAAACCACAAGTCATTAACTTTGATCTGCTAATGGGACGGCTCAGCTGAGAGCACTGATTTTGTTGATAGGTATTACGTAAAGAGCATAGCCACCAATACGGACAGAAGTGGCTGGAAAATGTTGTAAGGATGATCTGAAAGGAATTTTATGATGGGAAAATTATGATAGGGGAATTTATTACGGCTGGAGTCGGGGAGCTGGCACTGTGGCTGAGGAACCTGATACAGATCTAGAAGCTGCCTCCCTTCTGCCAGTATCACACTAGTGGTGCCTGCACCAGCGCAGATCCTGAGACCAGACAGTCCCAGCCTTCCTTCTTCAAAGAAGGGGTGATTAAGGTCTTCTGGGGCAATCTATGTCCTCTCCAGGACAAATGCAGAGGCAGGTTGCCAGAAGCAAGCCAGATCTCATTTACCTTATACTGAAACCTTCAAAGTCTTACTCAAATGAGCATTTCAAGTTGTGAACAGGGTGTATTAGAAGCCAGCCCAGGATGGGTGCAGCATGCTTCAGGAACTGTCTTCTGCAGCATGCCTGAGGACACAGAGCATCTTAAAAGCTAATGAGCATCACTGCAACCCTCCTGTTAGCTAGGCCAGAAGTCCGGAGCACTATGACTTAGCCTAGAGATCTCTGACATTGAACAAGAGCTGTTGGGTGACAGAAGACACAAGGGAGATTACCAGAGTTATGATGACTACTAAAGACAGGAATAGAAGGACCAGTGGTCTGGACCACCATGATCATTCTTATGCTACACTCTCAGGGGGATGGGGAAGTCATGTTGGGATGCTGATGATAAAAAACACAGTGGCATGCTCTGTGTAGAAGAGGGCCTCCTGCAGCTTCTTGGGCACAGTTCTTCCTAAATCCTGTTTGGCAAGTAGTGAGACCATCCACATGACCATGTGCTTGGCATATCAGCTATAGACTTGTCCTGATGAGGGAAAGCAGTCACCATCGAGACAGGCAGTGCCAACACACATCAATCCTCTTATCTTACATCTGCTGCCAAACACAGGTGAGGACTGGTCCCTTTAAGCTGCTCAGTGCAAATCCTGTCCTTGCCCTTGCTGCATCTTGACCTGCTCAGATGAATGTACAAGTGTAAATCTGTGTCTGCGCAGGTGCTAACTCTTCACCACTTCAGTTGCATAACTTGATTGAGGGGCTGCTGAGGTAGCTCTCATTTCTCATGTGGCCACAGGATAAAATATCATTCCAGCTTTCCTCCACTCTCCTCCGACATGGCATTAAGTGGCGTGGGAGGCAGAAAATATGACATCATTTCTCTTTAGAAAGGGCATAAGGAACTGGAGACAAGGAAGTGTGCTTTCTGCGGCAGGCAAATCAGACGAGACTGTAATATACAACAGAATGAACAGGAGCCTAGATAGACCTGGATATATTGTTGAAGAGTCAACAGGGCTTCTCCAGGGGAAATCATATCTCATAAATCTATCCAATTTATTTGAAGGTGTCAGTACTGGTCTGGGTAAGGATTGCTGGTGCTGTAGTTAAATTGCATTTTCCAGAAGTTATATTCAAAGTCTCTTACAAAAGGTGCTTGGAGACACTGTGATGTTACAGAGTAACCCTCCACAGATTTATAAGTGGTTTAAAACATATAAGCAAGGGAAGGATAACTGCTCAGTGTTCATGGTGGCCAAAGACCACCAGGTCCCTTGGAGGCCTGTCCTGGGATCTGCACTGTGACAGACTCATCAATGATCCGGAAAAGTGGTGAATAATGGAGTGACAGTGTTTGCCTATGTGACAAAATTATTCCAGATCATGAAATCTAACACTGACAGTGAAAAGCTCTGGAGGATCTTCCAAGACTGAGTTACTGACAGTGAAAGAGAAGATGAAATTCAGTGTAAATACATGTAAGGTAATGTCAGTGAAGGTGAGGAAAAAAGATCCAGAATGGCAACCAAGCTTAAACAGACTATTAGCTCTGAATTAGCTGCCTCCACTCATCCAAGAGCTCACAGAGCACCGTGGAAGGTGCCCTGGGAAATTTTCTCAGATCTGTACCCAAGTGAAAAAGCAAAGTGGATGTTGGACACTGCTCCAGAGAGAGATAACAGTACAGGAATTGTCATCATGGTCAGCCACAGCCCATCTTTGTTTTGAATACCAAGTGTATGTCTGATCCTGGATCTCAAAGAACACAGCATAAAGAAACCAACCCCAAAACAACAGAAAAAGCTGACCCAGTGATGTTCCTGATGCCAAGACACTGAACAGGCCAAGGTTATTCAACTTGGAAAGGCTATGGAAATCTACCCCAAATGTTTTGGAGAAAGCAAATTGGAGTTGGTGGCTCTCTCTTTCTGACATTACAGTAAAAAATGAAACCATCAGGAAGCAGGTTTAAAATGATGACTTGGAAGCACTTTTTCCACACAGGGATTTGTGCATGTCAAACAACACATGGTGTGCTCAAGGTGGACAGGGCTGTCAGTGGCACAGACACAGCAGTCTGGCTGCCACCAGCAGCCCATGATGCTCCAATGAGCTGCCATTCACCACCGTGCCAGAAGCACTCAGCGCTAGGCTGGTTTTCATACTCTTTGCTGTAGTGCGTGTTGCTGGTCACTGGCAGAATACCAGGTGTTGCAGGTGTTTGGTCTGCCCCATGGTGATGGGCCCAGGACCCTTTCATGAGTGTCCAAGGGTAAGCCACAGGAGAATCCACTGTGAGGGTCCTTCAGGTATAGCTCAAATACTCCTCGATATTGGGGGTTGAAACTAGAGGATCTAAAGGTCCTTTCCAACCCTAACTATTTCACGATTCATCACCCAGATCAGAGCTGCAACCCAGAAATGCTGTACCCAGCTGCTTCAGGTTCAAATCTAGTATAACGTGTGAGAACGCAGCTGAGGAGCACAGCAGAAGAAATCTTTACTTTTCTCCTGCACATAAGGCAGAGGAAAAAAATAATCTTTTATTATATATAAGTACCAGAATTATTCAAACAGAAATGTGCTGCAGGAGCCAGGTCTACAGACAGAAACTCAGAGGAACAGATGAAAGTGTGTGCTGTAGAGCACTGAAAGGATGCACAATGAGAGGCCACCTCTGCTGCTCCATCTCCGGAGGCCAGGCAGGAGGGACTGCTGCCAGTCCTGCTCTCAGCTGAATTCTCTTCGGGATGCTGAGGTAGCACTCGGCTCCCTGGTGCTTGGCTCTCCTGTATGCAGCGTTTAATTCCTTCCTTTCTTCTGTTTTCCAGAGAGACGCAATTAGAAATAACCCATCAGAGGAAAATAACTAAAACTCATGCTCTGTCTAAAAGTCTGTTTCAAGAAGAAAGAAGATTGTGTGTGAAGAAAACACTCACCAGTGAGGTTCGACATCAAAAGGATGTTTTGCATGGACTAAGTAGAAGTATTCATTTTTCATACATGCCCAGATTCACAGTGACACTGGTTAGACTTTCATACGACCACACTTTGTTTACTTAAAAGCTTGAAGGAAGGGAAAATGTCACAACTGCTCATGTAAGGCTGCCCGTGCACCAATCGGACACATCCAGCATGGCTGTTTGTACAAGCAAAAATCTCCCAATAGGCCAAGAAACGTTCGCATAAATCATCTGCCCAATCATTTAAGAGGCTGAATAATTCATAGAAAGGCAAATGTGTTCACAAGCAATTCATATGAAGAGCTAGGAGCAGCGCTGAAGGAACAGATTTGCTGTTCGCTGTGTCTGTGAACCTGAACATGCTTTTCTTCGGCTTCGACTTTCACAAACATGGAGCAGTTCTGTAAGTCCATCCCTCAAAATGTCACTGGATGTCACCTACCCCAAAATACCGGTTCATTCCCTCTGCCTGTCCCAACATGTGAAACCAACAACATCTCCACAAGCAGTGGTGCTAGCTAGTGTGGCACATCTGAATTACTTAATGGGAGTAATTTTGTTTCATCTTTCTTCATTTCTTGTTTCTTCAGACTCGCGATGGAGGCACAGAATTGATTTGCTCGAGCTCTACAGCTCTCAGAGACTTGTGTCTGCCCATGTCGAGTATGTCCGTGCTCTGCCCTCTGTTTCTCCAGCTGTGAAATGGTGAGGAACTTACTGAGCAACTGGGAACGTTTTTGATATCCAGATGGAACATGGGATTTATATCAGTCAAGCCCTACTTCTTACCCCCACTCCTATTTGAACCTAAGTCTCGTGGGACACTGCTGGGACACACAGACAGGCAAATGTGCTGGTAGTGCTGGTTCTACCTTCTCCTGCCTCAAACCTGTACCTCCAACACCACCAGCAGAGGTAAGGGAGCTCTATCAGGGTCCTCTCATCTGGACAAACAGTCTTTAGGAGAGAGATAATGGAAACATGAGTCATCCGGGAACACCCTTGATAACTTTAAACACATCTTTTGGGGGAAAACTCGGGGGGGTTTTGTTGGTTTGCTATTCAATTTGTTTGGGGTTCTTTTTCCAGTGTCAGGCACAGCAGAACCAGACTCATTCCTTTAGTCTTGCATGAGATGCGAAGTATAAATAGAAGCAAAAGGATTCCTACAGATATATATCTGTCCTCAGAAAAAGATTTTGTGCAGCTTCAAGTAATGCTGCGTGCTCAGCTGTCAATTCTGTTTTCCACGACCCCTTTACAGGTTCTTTCCTAGATCCTTTGAGGAGGCATTGACAAGAAAAGCGTGTTCATCCTGCAGCTGCCCGGATCCCCAGGCAACAACCGTTTCTAGAAGTCAAAACTACCTTTCCCAAGGAGAGAGTTTCTTTAGCAGAAATGTGGCTTCTCTAGAAGATTTTAGAGCCAATTCCATCCTTGGACTGATCCAGGGCAATGATCTTCACCAGTCTAGAAGCTGCTCTTGTCCTGTTGTCCATCTGTACAATGAGCTGCTGACGCACCATGCGTGCACCTCTCCCTCTGTGCCTAGCCCCTACTGTTAAGAAACATTAATTACACTGAAAGCTGATGAAATACGATTGCATTTTTCTCTTCGTTAAACATGATATAGAATCGTAATTCACATATATAAAATAGTTTCATTCCTTTTTTCCTCTGTTTGCTTTGGAATCATTTCATGGTGTCGACAATGTAGGTTTAGCAATGCCGTCTCCTCCTGCAGAGCCAGTCAGCCGCCAGTACCCTGCAATTTTAATGATCTAATCTGACAGCCAGTATGCTTTAATTTAAAGTTTTATTAACGACCACTTTCTACCCTCAAAGACTATATTAAAATTTGTTAATGGAATGGGAGATTATAAATGCCCCACTGCAAGGCCCACTTGTGCTGTTCTACACCACCCCCTTTAGAATTCACAGCAATCCTATTAACTCTTCTTTATGTTTTGTATAGGTCATTTTGATTGCAGGGTTTTTGTGTACTTCCCTTATGAGATAGCGTTGCCCGAATCGAAGCATTTGAAAGAATATGATTTTACAAAAGATCACATATTTCAGATTCATTATCCTTCAGCACTGAGCTTAAAATTAAATTTCTTTGACTTATTGCAAAGTTTTTGAATCTGCTGGGGGAACGGGAATGAATTCCAGAGGTAGCAGCAGTCTGTGTGACAGAAGTGACAGAAGCCACCCCGACCGCTGTTGACAGAGGAAGAAGAGGAGAGAGGAGGATATAAAGACCCGTGCCACTCATAGGCATAAAGCTGCAGGATCAGGACATTCAGTTGTCCTCCACATGCTTGGAAGCACAAAGCCCTTTACACAAAACACCTCACACCCTCTTAGTATGTGAAGGTTGCCTCTGTAAGCCTGGCTTTTAATAGGCATCTTGAGACTCTTCACTAGGTCTGTCACAGTGCACTTGTGCGTCAGGGCCCCACAGTCAACCGACCATGAAAGGGATCCCCCATCCCCATCATTTATCTTGTGTAAGGAGTCAGTAAAAGCATCACCACTCTCTCAGTACGCACAGGTCCCAGCCCCAATGCTTATTGTTTGTCTCAGGAAATGCGCTATTAATCATTTGTTCTATAGACTTAATTTCTCACAATTCTGCCCTCTTTATTTTCTGTTGCTATTGTTCCTTTCTCCTGCTTAAACATTTCAGCCACCCAGAGAAAAGGCAGAAACAACATCAGGTTCTCAAGAAACCAAACAATCAATCAGTTCACCAGCTTCACAATGGGACTCAATGGGAGCAGCAGGGCAGCTGCCTGTTGTTTGAATATCACTCACCCGAAAGGCTTGGCCAGTATACAGAAAAAGCAGTTATTCACAGGAAAAAAGAGGTAGGTGAAGGACACAGAGGGGGATTTCTAAGTGGAAATTTTTACATTAGAGATGTTTACACTTGAGCTACTCACCTGGCCTCCTTCTACAGCTGATGAAAAGACACTGAAACGTAGGGTGCAACTCATCTGATGCATTTGAAAGATCAACCCTAGGATAAAACAAACCAGCCATGCTGTGAAGTGCTCATTTCTCTCCAGCCTCCCCTAAAAATAGCCTGAACAGTTGAGTGGGGTGCAGCACAGACCACTGAACTTAAAGAAAACGTACTCCCCCCTTTGTAGGAAGTGCCATGACCAGATCCCCAAGGAAAGGGTTTTCCTGTCTGGCAGATATATCCTACTGCCCCACTCCCTGGCTGCTCCACACTTCATACGAAGCTGAGTATAACCAGTGGCAGGAAGAGCACTGGACTGGGTGGAACATCTGAGAGCCACACAGTCCCTCTTACAGCAGATTTATAAGATTTATTGTTTGCCTACCTCCTGCTTGGCTGTGACAGCCCATGGTGTCTAATAAATCAGCATTGCCAGTAGGTAGTCAGCTCCTCTCCGTCTTCCTTTCCTCACTTTCATATTCAGTATCCTACATACTGTTGTTCTCCACTTAAGCCCCTTGAACTGCTAGTGAGTGCTCCTACCACTGTAGCATTCGCATACTCGGTCCTTGGGTGACTTCCCTACCATCACCTCCATACCACCACAGTACCAGACTCTGAGCCCTGCTCCTTTCTCCCTTTGTCCTCTGAAATCCTTCCAAACTGTTACCAGCTGTGCAGTGTGAGGCCTCCAAACCCACCTGTGGCAAGGGTGAGGTTCCCGTTATTGAGCCCCCCTTCACCTGGGAGCACTCCTGTTACTTAGTGGGTAGGATTTCCCCACCTCCACCTCCAGCTCCTGATCAAACTGCTCCTCACGACGTTGGGTAGACCTTCCTCTGGTTGACATGGTTTAACCACTTTTGGTTTCATTCAGGCCGTTTTCCATGGGGATGTGCAGCCAGTGTTCACAGTAGAAGTGTAGAGAAAAATCACCATATCTTGATGCTGTGTGACCTGAAGTCAATGGCACTGAATGCTTTGTGGTGGGATGTTCAGCAAGTTGGGTTTTTCTTTCTCTTAATGACCTAACAATCCTAATGTGGTTTCCTGCCGCTGGCTCCTCCCCAGCCCTTGCAGCCCCATCTGTGAGTGTCATCACTCTTGGATCCAGCCCATTTCTGTGCCATGACCTTGCCCTCTTTGGGCTGGCAGCCTGTTACACGGTCAGGAAAGACGAAGCAGCTCACCATGTCAGGAGCATGGCTCACCAGCCTCAGCATCCCGGCTTGCACATGCCAGAACACGTGCCATGATTTCATGCTCTCACCCACACCTAACAGGCTACATTAAGTTGGTGTATTCATTCCATTTGCTCCCTTAAAGATCACCCGACCAGGGCACAGGAACAATAGTGCATGACTGCGGAACTCAAGTCAAGCTGACACGAATTGTGGGCACGCAGTGCAGAATTTCTCTTTTGTGAGTATTTGTGTGTTAAAGTTACAGATTTGCTTTTTCACCATATTTGCAATAGCTCTGCTCAAATATTTGTGGAGACTGAACACAGCCTAATTGAAATTCAGTTGAATTCAAATTAATATTCATGATTCTTCCCCCCCCCCCCCCCTTTCCACTTCATTCGGCTCTAAATGGAAGCAGCTTCCTGCTGCGGAGGGGACAGCTGTAAGCTGGTAGACTCCTGTAAGGGTGAAAAGTTTGGCAATCCACTTTGAATTCCTTGCAGCAGCTGCACGCTGGATGTCACTGCCATCCCCAGCGTTTGCATGTATTGACAGGCAGGGCTTGAGCTCCATCAGTCTGTGCCTGTGCTGGGTGGGTGCTGATTGCTGGAGATGCGCAGCACCTCGCTCTGCATCGCTGCTCATGCCACTTTCTCCTTCCTCCTTGGCACCCAGCTCCCATCACAATGACGGTGCCCTCTGCACTGTTGATCACTCCAGCTTGCAGCTCCAGGCCCCTGCAAGGCTGCCCTCCAAGAAGCAGCCAACCTCCCACTAATTTAGCTCCTGTGAGGCATGAGCTTGCCATCAACACAGTGCGGTTGGGACTTCTCCAAGAGGGAAGGGCAGAGATTTGTGGCTCTCTGGAAGCAGAGAGGGATTTGGGGACATTGTTTATTTGTAGCTGTGCAGGAGCAGGGCTGAGCTCACTGCGACCCCAAGCCCATCAATTGCTTTCATGATCATCGATCTATCGAAAGTGAAGCAGAATGTGATGAAACCCCGCACCTCTATAAAGCATCATTTCCAGACCTTATCCACTTTTCCGTGTCAAGTCAGACTGCCGCGCTCTGTCTGCCACTAAGGAAATCTTGCACAGGGAGATTAGAGATGCCTGGCACAGTAAAACCTTCCTCCAGTCACCCAGGAAACATAAGACATTTTTCTTCTTCTTTGGAAAAACGTGGAAATTAAATTGGAAGCTCTACACGGATGCAGCTCTACCCAGATAAACTCATACTGTCAGGATGTAGATGTTCCTGTGGACTATTATGGCTCTCATGCTTTTCAGAACATCCCAGGTAGTCTGCAAGTGCTTTTCATCAGGTGTTTATGGTCCCCAGTAAAGCACTAAGATAGAAATATTATAAACTACACATTTAACAAGAAAAATACAGGGATAGTGAAAAATACCCAGAGGCATTGCAATGCTTTGAAGGATCTCAGAATCATCTCAGATGTTTTTCTTCTGAAAACGGGCTTTTACCACCACTGACCCTGTAGACAGCCCCACACACTGTTTGTTTTCCCCTTGATTTTTAATCTCTTCTATGCCTCATGGCTACAACACCTAAAGGAAATGGGGGCAGGTGCAGCAGTGAGGCAGCTTTTCTCCTCAGGTACATAGGCAGCAGAGCTAAGGCAGGAGCTCTTGCAGCAAAGAGGCTTTACAACTCCCCAGCGTCGTACCCCTTTCCTGCTTTAGCAAGGAGAAAAGCATAAGATAAATTTATCACACCTCTAAATACCAGTGTAGCTGAACACGGATTTTAAAAGTCACCCTAATGCTACAGCCCCAGTCAAGCCTCTGTGGCATATCATCACCACAAATCATGGTTAGGGCTTCCCAAGCACCATGTTTGCATTTCCATACCTTACCGCCTTGCTGGAGATAACCGTAATGCCCTCAGGCTGCAAAACTCAGCATTAAATCCCACGGTAGAGCAAAGGAGAGCTGGGAGGAGGGATACCCAGGATTTAAAATATCCTGTTTGCAGGGCTATGATTTTATAACAAGGTTTCATGTTTGGGTGGAGAGTTTCCACTCTGATTGCATGTCGTGAAAGTCATGTCTAAACTGGAGCACAGGCACCGCTGGACTGCATCAGTTGAGGGATCCCTCTAAGCCAGAATATTGTCTCTGGCATCAATTGTTTCAAGACAAGCAGGACCTCTAAAGTAAGTTGTTTAGAGATGGCTTATCACCAAATCAACTTTCTTCTAACTCCTCCAGTGTTTGTACCCCTAGATTCAGGGTTAGGATGGTGGCAGCACGCTGTGGTGCCACAAACTGGGAAAAAGCAATGGTCCAGGTGAAAGAAATCACCTGGAATATGTTTGTAATCATCTCAGTAGACAGCTCTGTGTCTGAAAATCTGGGATTCCTTTGGAGGAAGACTCCTATGGTAATGGGCTAATTCAGGCTAGCAGGGACCTCTGAGTGTCACCTAGCCTGATATCATCCCACCTTTCTTAGATGCCCGCCTTAGGGTGGAAGGAAATGTTATTTGAAGGCACAGAGAGCTATCTTTTAGGAAGCAAACTTGAGGGGAATTGAATCATAGCCATGTACTGTGCCTTAATATATGTGCACAAAGGGTTGAGCAGGCAGCCTTAAATCTGAGTAATTTTTCTGCCTCAGTACGTTTGCTGTATTTCCACTTTAGCTGCTTCCTTCTCCTCTGGGGAGATTTCTAAAGGAGTGCCAGGCAGAAGGTGCAAGACCGAGACATCTCTTAAGCTGCTGCCGCCTCATCTCTGTGATTGTGAAGTCCTGCAAACAGAAAGGGAATGAGACAGGGTAAAAGGAGTTAATGAAGAACAACCCAAGGTGAGACAGGTCACCCCCATGCCCATGTACCGCCAGCATCACAAGGATGGATCTCAGCATGCACTGACCGTGTCACCCATGTGTCTGGCAGCACAAGGCTCACCAGCAGCAGTTGCTGGGTTTCTCTGTGTTTCTTTATGAAACAGAGGCACAGCAATTGCTGCTGCCCTCCAGCCCTCTGATCCCGCACTTGCTTTGGCAGTGAGATGAATATTGTTGCAGCTCACCCAGCAGCTCAGCCACCGTATTACTGGGTTTCTTCAAAACCCCTGAATGTCCCATCTAGAGCCAGTGACTTAATATCTTTTAAATTACCTATTTGCACCAGCGCCTCCTCATTTGATACCTTAATCCTTAATAGCAACTCACCTTTATTACCAGAAAAGAGCAAGTCAAAAGCAGATTTCTCCCAACATCCCCTGAGGTGAGAACTTATGAAATGAAATCATTTCACTTCTCAGCTGTGTCCTCATCTTCCTTAATTGTTCCCTTTAACTCCTGGGGAGCCAGCAGACCTGTCTCGTTCCTTTGCAGGCTTTCCTCTTCCTGGCAGACTTGAATTATCTATTGTTTGTTTCCATCCTTACCAAGTCTTGCTATTTCTTGCTGGCTTCCTGTTTCCCCTCTTTCATGCTGTATTTTCTGCCCCTGTTTGTTGACCTTGTGAAGGTTGGATTTCCATTTTTTGAAGGACCATTGTTGTGCCGAAACACCTTCCTGAACCCTGCCATTTACCTGCTTTTGCTCCTGCCTTCCTCCCGTTCTCGCTGATCAGACCCAGGCAGGCAGTTTGAGCCTTTGGTACTGTCAGGTCCTGGTATAGCTAAGCGTATGCTGAAATCTCATTAATGGCAATTGAAGCTGAAGCATGTGGTTAAGTACCTTGCAGAAGGTAGCTGTTTTGCTATGTCACTCCTTAAAGAGCATCCGTGCCAAATCTCAGCATTTTAATCTCTTTACTTCTGACTCTTGATGCTGTCTCCTGGCTTCCTCATTCTGTTGAAATCTCTCTGTCTAAAGGTTAGCATCACTCTGATAGGACTCGATCCTCTTCTTTCCTGAGGATGATGAACATAATTACATTCTTAACAAGTGAATTGAATTACAGCATGATTTCTCTAACAATGAGAGCTCTCCCCGCACTGTGCTGGAAGGAGCTTGCGCCGTGCTTCAGGATGAGTGAATTGCCTCCATTCTAGCCCATGCATTATTGGGACTTTAAAAATTATGTCTTATTCATCTATTGATGACAGTGGCCTCTTGGGTGTAAATTGAAGCAATTACGAAGGATCATGCAAATTAATCAATTATTTTCAGATTATCACATTCAAGCCATAGTCTTGCTCTTCGATTCCGTTAAACTCTGCTCTGAGTCAATTTCCAAACCTCCAAATTAAGCTATTTATTAGCTAAGTAGATATGTTACAGAAAAAAAAAGTTACCCTCATTAATTGAAGAGTAGAAGGGGTCATTTTAAAATGGGTTTAATACATAAACTGTGATATTTAAGAACAGAGGTGCCAGGTCCTGACCCCAGTGTGAGTGGGATGTTTGGGATCATGTGAAACACAGCTACATAATCCCAGCTCCATGCATAAATCTCAGTGCAGTCACAACATTGAAGT